TCAAAGGCTTTTTCAGCATCTAAAAATATCAGCCCTGCAGGAACTTGGTTATTTTTATCTAAATATTCTAATAAATTAATAATTTGTCTGACATTATTTTTCATGTACCTTCCAGTTATGAACCCAGATTGATCTTTATGCACAAGGTGGTGCACCACCCTCATAAGCCTATTTACTAAGATTTTTACAAATATCTTATAATCCTCATTTAAAAGAGATATAGGCCTATAATTCTTTGGTAAAGTAAGATCTTGATCTTCCTTTGGAATCAATGATATAAAAGCAGTACGCCATGAGGGAGGAATCTCTTGACCCTGTAAAATGCCATTGAAAAGATCACCTAATGGTTGAATCATCTCCTCCAATAAGGCTTTATAATAAACAGCTGTTAACCCATCCGTACCCGGTGCTTTCCCTGGTTTCAATTGTTGAATTGCTAGCGAAATTTCCTCCTTAGTAATTAAACCATTAACTTCATGTTTCTGATCCTCTGTCAATTTAGGGAAACTAACCTCGCTTAGATATTTATTTATCTCTAAAATTTGCACATTAGTAGATTTATATAATTTTTGATAATAATCCAAAAAAGATTTCTTAATCAGTTCCTTCTGAGAAACTAATTTACCCTTGTAATTTATTTTATCTATTGTTCTCTGTCTCTGTTTCTTTCTCAATTGATAAGCCAGCCATCTCCCTGGCTTGTTAGCATTACAGAATGTATTTTGTTTCATAAACAATAAATTGGTTGCAGCTTGATCTGCTAACAACATATTAAATTGTGTTCTTAACAACTTTAAGGATTCTTTAATACTTTCATCAGAAGGATTTAAAATCAAAGACTTTTCTTTTAATTTAATTTCATCTTCCAATTCTTTACGTTTCTGAATCTGTTTTTGCTTATGACAATTATTCATTTTTATCAAAATCCCACGCATAAATGCTTTCCCTGCATCCCATACCATTGACATTGAAGTCCCCTTATACATATTCAAAGCAAAATAATCCTTTAAACATTCCTTTAGTTTCTGAACATTTTTTTCTTGTCTAAATAAATTCTCATTTACCCTCCAGGATCTTCTCTCCTCTTTTTCTTGAGTCAACTCCATCCAAACTGGACTATGATCCGTCAAAGACCTAGGGAAAATCTTGACATTCTTTACTCTATTATATAAGTCTGTTGTAATCAAGAAGAAGTCAATTCTTGAGAAGGATTGGTGTCTATCTGAAAAGAAGGTAAAGTCTTTCTCCTCTTGATTACATTCCCGCCAATAGTCCCGTAATTCCCAGTCCTCTTTCATATCAAAAAAGGCTTTAGGTAATTTTGCCTGCTTAAGAAGAGGAGAGGAACCTTTTTTGTCCCTTTGTACATCTAAGACACCATTCCAATCCCCCATTAGTACCACGGATCTGTAGTCCAGCAGATTTATTTTTTCATGTAAGAGTCTATAAAATTGTTCCTGTTGCTGATTTGGTGCATATAGTCCCACTATAAGTACTTTCTTACCATATAAGCCCAATTCAACCATCACATATCTCCCTTGGGGGTCAGACTCCACCAGACAAACTGGTAGATTTTGCTTAACATAGATAACAACTCCCCCCTTCTTCCCGGGAGCAGAAGATACGAAGTGAGATCCCAGACGGGCATTAACTAAATATTTCTGATCCTTAAGTAAAATATGAGTTTCCTGTAAGCAAATAACATCATTATTACGTTGCTTCAAATAATAAAAGATTTTTTTCCTTTTCTGAGGAGAATTCAATCCATTAACATTCCAGGTCAAAAACTTTGCCATCTCCCTTGGCCCGCAGCCTGGAGAAGACACCTTGGAGATCTGAAATTGCAACATGTGTTGCATGACTCTTGGGTCTTGCTCCTCCCACCGGCGGTGATACATTTCAATATATGTAATATTAAGTATACACATTTCTTATCATAATTTTCTGAAATTATGCCTAAAAGAAATAATTCTGCTTTATAGTCTACATGTGCTCCTATCATCTTTTCTAGTCACCTATGTATTTTTGACCAATAGTTCTTTGCTTTAGGGCAGTGGTTCTCAACCTGTGGGTCGCGACCCCATTTGGGGTTGAACGACCATTTCACGGGGGTCGCCAAACAATGCGATCCGCCATTTCCCCCCCTTTTCCTTAGCTCTGCTACTCCCTCTTATTCTATTGGCTTTCGAAAGCCAATAGAATAGACTCTCTTGAACAGAGTCTAATTCTATTGGCTTTCAAAAGCCAATAGGAATTGTCCAGGGCTGTCTCTGCCCTGCTGAGCCCGCCAAAAGCCCCAGTCTGCAAACGGTGCTGCAAGGGGCTTCCCTCCCTGCTGAGCAACTAAAAAGTAAGTAAAAGAGGGCCGGGGGTGGGAGGTGGGAGGCCGGTGGGCACAGGGAGGGTTGCTGGTGCGCGTGGGGCCTGGCAGGTGCCTTACCTGTCTTGGGCTGGGCCAGCTGGTGGTCCAGCCAGTGGTCACCCTGCGCTGCCGCTGCTGCGGATGCCCGGGAGCGCCTGGGCCTGCCTGCCGCCGCCCCGAACAGGCGGCGGCCAAAGTAAGCCTAGCGGGGCAGCGGCGGGCACAGGGAGGGTTGCTGCCGTGTGTGGGGCCTGGCAGGTGCCTTACCTGCATTGGGCTGGGCCAGCTGGTGGCCCAGCCAGTGGTCGCCTTGCCTGCCGCGGCAGTATTGTTTGAAATAAAAATAGTAGTTTTGGTAAAATGTTCATTTTCACCATTGCTATTGGCAGTCTTCCAGTTTTAATATATTGGAAAATAAGAATAGGTAAGATGCTGAGTATATTTTTAAACAAACTGGGCATTCAGGTAAAAAAGATACCAATCCCATGCTCACTTCTAACTTTCCTTCCCTCCCAAGCAAGACCTCCTTCTTTGGAGATTCTCATAGATTCAGTTTGTTCCCCAAAGCAAGGCCATCCAAATATTCCCCCTTGGTCAAAATTTGTAACTTTGTTCTCTAATGGTACTTCTGGCATGTCAAGTTGTAACAACAATAACAACAACAACAACAACAACACTATTATAGAAAAGAAAAAAGTCTGGTTCATTAATATTGCAATACCATATGATGTATGAATTGAAGAGAAATAGCTATAAAATATCATGATTTACAAATTGAACTTGAGCGACTATGGAGGAAGAAATCAATGGTTGCACCCAATAGCAATACCCAAAGGGCTGCCTAGATACATGGAAATTTTGAACTTATTAGACCTGAATATTCTGACTTGGCAAAAAACCACCCTACTCGGAATTACCCATATACTCAGATGCTACCTTATTAATAGCTCTTAGGTCCTTGGTTAGGACTTGAACTGTTAAGTTTTTACTAGTCGCAGACTGAATCAAATTGAAGATTAAATCGTTAATAATGGTAATGACAATAATGATGATGATTACGGTGATGATGATGATAATAATAATAATAATACCCTTTGGTCAATGTTTATTTTTCACAATTTGTTTAAGAGGTCTGTGTTCCCACAAGAAACAATTAGCATTCTCATTTGGAAGGAATGCATTGGGGAAGGCTAACTGTTTCTATACTTGCGATGGACAGGACATTTAGCACTCTGGTTTTAATAAAACATATTTTCAGAAAGGCTAGTGCCAAAGTTATACAGTGATTGGATAATGGAAGTGAAGCCCATGGATCATTAAACATTCTTGAAAAGTTACTGAATATTTTTTTATGTAATAGATTGGAAAATTATATATCTGGGAGGTAATCATACTCACATATTCAAGAGTAGTTATGTCACATTTTTCTTGCCTTATTTGATGAAGTCTGTGGTTTAAAGTATGTCCAACATGCCAGAAGACAAAAGCAACCGTTGACCAGAAAAACTCTATATCTTAGCTTAATATATGAAATACTTTTGACACAAGCAAACCCCCCAAAATATGGCAAACATTCTTGAAAAATGGGTAATGGAAGAGGAAATCACCATCATGGGTCAAGCTGAACTCCAAAAAGGGAGGGAGAGAAATTATAATTGCTTGGTTCTGCAATGTACTGTCCAGCAGAAAACACATTTGTTGCAATATCTTTGGGAATAAGAAAAAAATATTTCTGTCCCACTCTAACAGCATCTTCCATTATTTCAAAGCAGTTTGCATCAAACTCTATAACTCAGGTGTCAAACTCGCTGTGTCACATATCACGACTTTTTTTGCATTGCTGGAGCTGGGTGGGCGCGGCCTCTGCATGCAGTTTGACACTCATGCTCTACAACAAAAAGGAAAAGCCAGGTCCCATTCACCTGCACCCTATATTTCTTTCAGAAAGACAAAAGCACCAGAAACCCAAATGATGATACAATGTTCTTATGATCTTAGTTCATTTTCCTGACTCTGCAGATTGTTAAATATTTAAGCAGGAATATTTCTTTTACTATTTAAGTAGCATTGATTGGCAGTTTTAATGCAAGGACATTTTAAAGTACATCCTTCATTTAGTAGCATATTTATGTAAGTGAGCAACTGCCTGCATCTCTAAGTCTAGAGGCCCCAAATAAAGCCAAATGGTAGTCAAATCTTGCCCTTCACATGTGCTGAGAGGAAACAGTGCTAAACTCATCCTTCAATAAAATTATTCTATATATCTGCTCTAAATGAACTTTCCAAAGCCCACTACCATCGCTTTAGCAGTTTAGCTTAACCCCATAAACATTTACTTCGGGGGGGGGGGGAAAGGCCCAGTAAATTACATGCTTAATCTCCGAGAACAAAGCACAGGATTAAAATTCCAGCAAGCAACACCTTAGATCAATACCAGACTCTCCCTATCAGTTCGGGCACCTGTGTGATACACCCTGAGTAAATATAACACGTTTACCTTACTCAGGTGTGCATGACCAGTGCATGCTAGGAGCTGTAGTTCTTTCGCGCAAAGAATGTCGACTGTGGGAACTGCCGAACTACATTACCCAGAATGCTTTGCCATAAAAGATATGAGGAACTGCCCCATGACCTACTTACCTAAGCGCCGGGCACAGTTTTCCCTAGCAACAAAGAAGATAATGAAGACTCCTGCCTGTAACAGCAACTCAAAGTATTGGCTTCAGTTAGCAGGAAGTTACCTTTGGTATAACGTCGGTTAAACTGCCTGAAAGAGGTTGGTTGAATGAATTAAAGTATCACGTCTACTTCTCTGGCCCATTTCTCTGCTTTGCAAGAAAAAATGATGGATTTCAGGAGCGGGGATAAGGATTCTTCCATTAGGAGAAGGAAAGAGCCCTGCTTTTGTATTCCTGTGTGAAGAACTTCAGCCTCCCTAGAACAAAATACATCTGGCAAACTAGTTGGGATATTGGAATCATCGTCTCCAATAAACATTGATCTGTTTTTGTAATAGAAAAAAATCTCCAACAAAACAATTTAGATGGAAAATAATTTATATTGAGTTATATACTGAAGATGTTCATGCTATATTTTGGAATTTATCTCCTCATATATAAGCATTACATCTCAGTCTCTTGTTATCCAATGCAATTAAATGGGAGGAGGATTTGAATCAGAAACCTACTTTAATCTGAAGAATCTTGGAATTCCTAGACAAGGCATAATTTCCTAAAATACTTGGAAGTTATTCCCACTCATTTCATTGAGGCTTGCTTCTAGATTAGTGTAGATTAGATTAGTGTAGCTGCTGTCTACAATCTTAAAAATGCTTATTTCCAAAGTATGTTTTACTGACAAAATGTAATGTATTTTTTAATACATTAAGATTGAATAAGATTGTGTTGACATTTATCCATGAAATATTCAAATTACTGGAAGGGGAGAGTGAGAGGAAGAGAAGGAAAGTACATTTAAATTCTTATCAGATTTCTATGAAAGCAAGTTAAACTGATTACAGTGATACTTCAAATAGTTTTGAAAAGATTTTATAGAGTGTGCTTAATATTCTTTGACAGCATCCTGCAATGCATAAGGATACTCTTAAGTGTGTATGTTTAAAATTACAAAAAAACCTCATAACTTCTTATTGAAATGAACAGCACTTGGGTACTGATAATTTTGATTAGAGTCTCAGTTTTTGTTAAATTACTTGCACTATTGCTTTTAAGTTTTTTAAAATTATTTAATCAATTTATATGGCTGCCTATCTTGTAACAGTGACTCTGGGAATTTATTTTAGGATTATACAACCAAACAGTATTAAATGTGCATTGTGGCACCTGATTTCTAAAGCTTTCTAAAGTAAAAAAAAGAATTGCTCAGTGATCATACTGGATACCTGGCATTTTACACGAAGAAAGAACAATGAACACTTTTTAACTGCTATTCACAATTAGAGTACAAAGTATTCCAAAAGTTATTGTAGTTTTTTTTTTGCCAATTATTGATCAGCAACATTAAAGACTACAGGCCTGTTATCAAATGGATTTGTTGAAACATAATTTTGATACAACTGAAAATTACAAGATCTACCTTCACTTGAGATTCAGGACCGTCAACCTTTTAGGGCTGGTTTTGCATAGCTGTAATTTTGACAACATGTTATAGATACTCTAATACAGTGGTTCTCAACCTGTGGGTTGGGACCCCATTTGGGGTCGAACGACCATTTCACAGGGGTCGCCAAACAACGCAGTCCGCCATTTTTTTCCCCTTTTTCTTAGCTGTGCTACTCCCTTTTATTCTATTGGCTTTTGAAAGCCAATAGAATAGACTCTCTTGAATAGAGTCTAATTCTATTGGCTTTCAAAAGCCAATAGGAATTGTCCAGGCTGTCTCTGCCCTGCTAAGCCCGCCAAAAGTCCCATTCTGCAAATGGTGCTGCACCAGTTGAGTAGTCCTTAACTTACGACCGGTTGGGGGTCACGGCATTATAAAGGTTGAGAACCACTGCTCTAATAGAAATATGGGAAAACGTGTCCTGTTTCAAAATGGCTCCCATGAGAATGCAGTTTGTTATGAGACACAATTTTATCAAAATGCTTCCTCTGCTTTCCCCTTTTTCAAGATACACTCTGTTCACATTTGCTTTTTTTTTTTTTTTTTTGAACAGATGAACACACTTTCATGTACAGCAGTGGATTATTTTGGGATTTTCAGTTGGAAACATTTAACATAGATAAGGTATCTGTTAACAGAGTAAACAGTTTCTTGCTATTTACATTTAGTGACTAAGGAATGATAACTATCTTTTGTGTAAGCTTAGATACGGTGGCAATTTTAATCAGGTAATCTGAATACAAGACAGTGGGTCTGTCAGTTTTTCCAAAATTATATTTGAAATACAAAAGCTTCTGTGAGAGAGAATTTCACTTTCTTAGTGGATTTCTCCCAAAATTAAGCTGTTGCTCATAGAGCACTTTCTCAGGGCGCTGAACTTACAGATGTGTTTATTATGGTGCATGCAAAATAGAGGGGAGAAATTTGGATATAAATAATTCAGCTGTATTACCACTGTTGGACACAATATTATTTAGTAATTGTTATGTAACAGTGGTTCTCAACCTGTGGGTCGGGACCCCATTTGGGGTCGAACGACCATTTCACGGGGGTCGCCAAACAACGCAGTCCGCCATTTTTTCCCCCTTTTCCTTAGCGGTGCTACTCCATTTTATTCTATTGGCTTTTGAAAGCCAATAGAATAGACTCTCTTGAATAGAGTCTAATTCTATTGGCTTTCCAAAGCCAATAGGAATTGTCCAGGCTTTCTCTGCCCTGCTGAGCCTGCCAAAAGTCCCATTCTGCAAATGGTGCTGCACCAGTTGAGTAGTCCTCGACTTACGACTGGTTGAGTAGTCCTCAACTTACGACCGGTTGGGGGTCGCGGCATTAAAAAGGTTGAGAACCACTGTTATGTAATAATGTTGCTTATTTTGTAAAGTTTTCTTTTACATAGAAGCATTTCTTAGTGTTTTTGTTTGTTAATTTTCTATGTTATTCCTTGGGATATTTTCTTTCTTTTTGTCTTTTTTTTTTATTTATGTTAACTGCTTCAGAATAACCCTTGCCAAGTTTCAGGAAAATTGGCTGACCCAGTGTTATAAAGCTGCAGTCTGCACAACTGCAGAGCTATTGAGAAACTTGTTTCATAGCTATTGAGTAAGCTTCTACTACTTGAATGCTTGATTGCTACCAACAGGTTGAGTAGCTTTTATTGTTTTTTTGAAATATTTAAGTTCCATTTTCTGATCTGCAGGTGGAAAAATGGGAGGAGCAATGATAGCAAGGAGGAGGTCCTGACTCTCTGAAGTGCAGGCTTGGAGGATTGTGATTGGGGACAGAGAAAAAGAACAAATCATTAAAGAAGGGCACAAGGTCATTAAAAAGGGGAGAAGACTTAACTGGCAAAGCCGGTCTGTTGGACAATCATATGATTAAAATTGTGGCAATAAAGGAGTGTACAGCAAGGGCACACAAGAATTCAGTCTTTTGAAGATATCTGTCTTGCCTCTAGAAGTGGAGGGGAAGCCCTAGAAAGGTAATGCTTCTCACTCTCTTCTCCAATTTGCAAAATGTTTTTCATGAATAAGTTAAAATGATTGTGAACTTTCTCTGTTTGGTCTGTTTCATTTGTCCTCTTGACTTTCTGTCTTGCTAGAGGGGGTAGATAGAAAAGAACAGTAATTTCTTAAGGTAAGGAAGCTGTTGCTGCTGCTCCACTAGTGGTAGTGGAGGGGTGAATATAAGGGAAATAGTTATATTTGAATTTTAAAGATGAATAGCCTGGATCTTACAATAAAGACATGCCATTAGACTAATTTCCATCCCCTTCCTTGTTATGTGCTCTAGCCAAGATACCTTTCCTTGCAGTTCTTATTATTTGACCCAGCTGTCTGTCCTTTATGAAGGCATAGTAGACATCTCTTTTTGGAAGTTATGCTCTGCGTGTAAAAATATTGTTAGTATACTTAAGGCCCTATTTTGAACTTTGTTTTAAACAGACCTATTTCAATCATTGCTTCCCACAGCTAGGAATATTAGTGTCATGGCTTCCTAACAGGGGACTTTTTTCCTGGTACTGTTCCTTTCCTATGAGAAGATTTGTCAAAGTGATTTTTTTTATTACGAGCTGCCTAATTTATAAAGAATATTGTTACTCATTTGCTGCTGGGGTTTTTTTCTGAAATTCTCTCCACTGTCAGATATTACCACTTTTCTGATAGAGTTCCTGGTAGTGGACTGTGGCTGACTTCTCTCTACTTTGGCTTGAAGTTTCTTTTGTTGGGTGCAGAGAGCTTCAGAAATCCTATTTGACCTCCACAAGCCAATTACTGTAGTCAAGCACAGAGTGAAGAAGGCCTTTGTGGAGAATGCCTAAAGCAGTGATGGCGAACCTTTTAGAGACTGAGTGCCCAAACTGCAACCCAAAACCCACTTATGCATCCTTGGGTGCCGGGTGGGTGTGGCCCATTGGCTGGGCGTGGCCCATTGGCTGGGCGTGGCCCATTGGCTGGGCGTGGCCCATTGGCTGGGCGTGGCTGCGTGGTAATAGCAGACTGGGTGGGACTAAAAAGTTCAATCAGTTCCAACTTTGCACGATCTTTTTTTTCCCGAGAAATTGATTGATTGAACTTTTTTTTTTTTGTACACAGCACTGGAGGCCTAAAGTGAAAAGGTTTTATAAAACCCAGCTGAAGACCTATGACTGGGGTGACAGCGCATGTGCCCACAGAGAGGGCTCTGAGTGCCGCCTCTGGCACCCGTGCCATAGGTTCGCCACCACTGGCCTAGAGCTATCTGCTCGGGATAGACAGGAGAGTCTGTTTTTCTCTTAGTACAGTGCTCATTACAGACATAGGTGATTGACTGAATAGACTCAGCGTTTGTTTCCTAACACACTATGATTTTATTTGTGATGCAATTAGTTTGTTTTTTGTTTTCCATTTCATGTATTGCTGCTAATTACCTTTCTAGAAAGATTGCTAGAAGTTTGGGAAGGGAAGAATGCAGGTAGTGTATGACTTACAACAGTTTGTTTAGTGTCCATTCTAAGTTACCACGGCAATGAAAAAGTGACTTATGACTATTTTTCACATGACCATTGTAACATCACCATGGTCACGTTATCAAAATTTAGACACTTGGCAACTGACTCATCTTTATGACGGTTGCAGTGTCTCAGGTTCATGTGATTCCCCTTTTGCGATTTTACGATGAGCAAAGTTAATGGGGAAGCCAGATTCACTTAACAACCCCGTGTTACTAACTTAACACCTGCAGTGATTCACTTAACAATTGTGGCAAGAAAGGTTGTAAAATGAGGCAAAACTCAATTGTCTCGCTTAGTAACAGAAATGTTGGGCTCAATTGTGAGCGTAAGTCGAGGACTACCTGTACGTATATTTGCAGTTAATCAGAGGTGGCCATATGACTTTAGTGATAGTTTAGTGGTAGCCTCTAAACGGTTTGCCATCACTGTTTTATTGGATGGTCATCTAAAAAAACCTGCTTATCAAGCAAACTTGCATAATGCATTACAGAATTGCTAGAATTTGCAGTACACATGAATTATATTTAATACAAAAATACTGACTCAGTATTTGGCTGCTTCTAATATGTTCATCAGCTAGGACAGTGATGGCGAACCTTTTAGAGACTGAGTGCCCAAAAACTGCCCCTGCCCCTCCTGCTCTGCTCCTGCCCCTGATGAAGACTTTTCCTTCAACAAATATGAGTTAGTTGCCAAGCATCTGAATTTTGATCATATGACCAGGGAGATGCTACAATATTCGTAATTGTGAAAAGCAGTCATAAGTCACTTTTTCCAGTGCTGGTGTAATTTTTGAATGGTCACTAAGCAAACTGTTGTAAGTAGAGGACTACCTGTATATTTGCTGATGTACAGGGCTTCTTAGTCATGGATAAATCCTGCTTGCCAGGACAGCCAACATATGCAGTCTCATTCATTGATGGAAAACTGTTGTTGCCTGGCACGGTGGATGTTTGGGCGTTGTGACATATTGGCGAAGATACTAAGTGACAAAAGAAAGCTGTGATTGTTGACACAAAAACATCAACTTAGGCAAATAAGAATAGAAAGGAATAGAAAGGGGGAAGTGTTGAGAGGGTCAAGAGGGCTATCACCTTCTGCTCCCAGCTTCTGTCACTTAAAGGCAGCCAGTTCTTTCTACCTAATTGTAAGGCTGGGCCTGTGAGATAAAGTAATCTTGTTTTCATTTGCTTTTGTGTGGAGGCTGTAGTCACATTGTTCTCTATTCATTTCTCCATTCTTTGAGCTATCTAGTGAGCTGAAGGTTAACAGAGTGTTCTTTCTCATTACACATCTCTCTCTCTCTCTCTCTCTCTCTCTCTCTCTCTCTCTCTCTCTCTCTCTCTCTCTCTCTCTCTCTCTCTTTCTCTCTCTCTCCTCCCCCCCCCCCTCCGCCTTTCTACTTAAGCTACCTTTGTCATTAATTGCTTTGGGCTCTGACCTTAAGTTCAGTTACTTGGAGGAATGTTTCAGAAATTGGCAGAACTTGTATGACAGTGCAAAGTGCTCATTAAAGAAGGTTTAGAAAGGGTAGCTGGTTTAAAATGTAGCTACTAAAACATTGAGCGGGCACATTTTACGTTTTGTGCTATTTATATTAGCTGTCCATCTTCTGGACCCAATTTGAAATCTAACTCTAACCATAAAATGTATTTAGGACCAGGTTATCTGAAGGACTATCTGCGTCCATATGAACAAATCTAGCTAGGTATAAAGATTTGTTATGGAGGTCCTCTCTTAAAAGGTAGTCCAGAAAACAAGCTCTGGATTCAGAAAGATTTAGACAAACTTGAACAATGGGCCCTATCCAACAAAATGAGTTTTAATGTGTAGAAAAGCAAAGTTTTACACTTAGGCAGGAAAAATCAAAGCTATAAGTACAGATTAGATGAGACCTAGCTCAAAAACAGTAACTATGGAGGAACCTTGGAGTCCTAGTGGACGATCACTTGACTATGAGCCAGCAGTGTACAGCCGCCGCCAAAAAAGCTAATACTGCTTTATAAAACCCTAGTGAGACCACACCTGGAATACCAGTTTTGGTCACAATACTACAAAAAAGATGTTGAGACCTTGGAATAAATTCAAAGAAGAGCAGCTAAGATGATCAAAGGTCTGGAGACTAAAACATATGAAGAACAGCTGCAGGACTTGGGTTTGGCTAGTCTAAAGAAAAGAAGAAACGGGTGACATGATAGCAATATTCCAGTATTTGAGAGGCTACCACAAAGAAGTGGGGGGTCAAATTATTCTCCAAACTACCAGAGGGCAGGACAAAAAACAATGGTTGGAAACTGATCAAAGAGAGAAGCAACCTGGAATTAAGGAGAACTTTCCTAACAGTGAGGACAATTAAACAGTGAAACAGTTTGCCTTCACAAATCGTGGGCGCGCTATCACTGGAGATTTTTAAGAAGAAGCTAGACAGTCACTTGTCTGAGATGGTATAGGTTCTCCTGCTTGAGCAGGGGGTTGGACTAGAAGACCTCCAAAATCCCTTCCAGCTCTGTTCTATTCTATTCACTCTTTTGCTAGCCATCGGTCAAAATGAAGCTAGTAAGTACTAAAAATAGGAGCTTCTCAGTAATAGCCTCATACTCTCAGCATGAAATCAATGAGTTTGTATCCCATGAGGACTTTTCTAGATTGTCTTCTAGGACCAGATTGAATTCATCACCCAAAGAATGCCTGGGCTAAAGAGTGTTGTCAATAGCAATAATTGGGCTGATAAAATAAGGTCTGTAATTCTAATCTCTGATCAGTTACTCTAAAGATCTAGTCAAACATGCTTTGGAGGTTTCTCCGTTGATATGTAAACCAGAAGTGGAAAAAAAAGGAAATGTATATAATCTATGAATAGTGATTTTTCTTTCAAACCAGGTAATTCTAGCTCTTAATCTCCATTTATGAGATTTTCTTAATAGATAGCCACTTTGTAAAGTTAAGTGCTGTAAAAGAGATCTGGAAAGAATTAAACTGTTCAAGAAATATTCTATCAAAAATATAAACATGCCTATTCAAATATGAGTTTGCAAGCTTCCCTATGGGAATGTGCAAACGTGCTATACAGGTTCACTTATATAAGCTAAAAGAACAGAACTTCTGCAGGCAGCCTGTTCCCAATCAGGGGGAGAAGACTTTAACCAACATATAAATGCAGCATATTAACATGGCAGTAGGTGCTCAACACAGCCATTACAATGAAATAAGCTTCCTTAGAATGGTAAAGTCCTTGCCTTTTTTTTTTCATTTGTAGATTTTGAATAGAAGAAAAAAATCATGACATGAAACTAAATGGCAGGACAACTCTGTAGATTAGGGTTAATTAGATTAAGACTTGTAGATTTCAACTCCCAGAATTCCTGAACCAACCATGCTGGCTCAGGAATTCTGCAGTTGAAGTCCAAAGGTAGATGATCTTTATAGACTAGTTCTGCTTATGAGAGAGCAAACAAGTGGACTGTGTGTTTCTCTATTTGGCATATGTCCCACTGAGTTTGGCAACATTTAATATTCTGTTTTAAGTAGACAATTTATAGTAGCCTCAGGTCCCTCTTACATTACAATTTTTGTTTATACCTGCTGATTTCCATGTGCAAAACTAGCAGAAGCAAGGATTTGTAATTTGATCTTGTCCTTTGACACTCTTAGTAGTAAGGGGGGGGGAGGAGGAGGAGGAGGAGAAAAGAAGAAAAGAAGAAGTCCAGATCTAAAAATAATCAGAGAATGCTGCCAGTACAGGTTTTTTTTAAAAAAAAAATTTCCTATCTATCTTCAAACATATTTTTGCTTCCTACTGGAGAACCCTTGTTTTCCTTTATTTTTCCCAGAATCAGTGTATGTATCTTGGGGAAATGTTGTAAAGGGAACAGTAGAAAAAAAATCATAGGTAGCTTTTGTGTAGTCCAGGGGTAGGCAATTTTGGTTCTTTTATGACTCATGGACTTCAACTCCCAGAATTCCTGAGCCAGCCATGCTGGCTCAGGAATTCTGGGAGTTGAAGTCCATGAGTCATAAAAGAGCCAAGGTTGCCTACCCCTAGTCTATGTTCTGAAATTTGGAACATAGAATAACAGGGTTGGAAGGGACCTTGGAGATCTTATACCATTCCAGACAAAAGGTTGTCCAATCTCTTCTTCATGAGCTGGCAATATATTCATGTGTAGAAACACCAGTGTTAAGAGAATATTGCTATTTAACATTGACTTAAAGACCGACAGAACCTGTGGCACAATCCATTTTACTAATCTGATATCTATATATGTAGTTAAAGTTATGATATATTCTGCTCACGATGACTGTTCTGTTCTAGTTTTGTTGCTAAGTAACTCCTATAAAAAGCAAATGAATGGGATATTTAGGGCAGGGATGGACAACTATGGCCCCTGTACGACTTGTGGATTTCAGCTCCCAGAATTCCTGAGCCAGCCATGCATGGGGTTGAATTCTGGGAGTTGGTCCACAGGTTATAAAGGGGCCATAGCTCCCCCCCCCCGTTTTAGGGAGTTGGTTGTGTTTTACTTGCTGTAAAGGTATGGCTGGATTCTACAGCGTAAGAATATAGCAGCTGTTCTTTAACTGATAATGCTTTATTACTAACTAATTTCTTGGATGGTTTCATAAGCTTCTGATTTATTCTGCATGGACCCAGATCACTTGTATGATCAGAGCATTTGGATCCAACAAGTGTCTGTTAATCATTTGTTCTGCCCCCTGGATAATCAACTGCTTCAGTCTGCCTCTGACTTCAGCGTCTAGTGGAGTTAAGATTGCTACAAGTTTAACACCTCTTCCTCCTCCTTCAGCCACCTGCACAGCACACTGCAGAATACAACTGCATACCTCACCTTTTGAGTATCCCAGGGCAAATGATGTAGCAACTACACCTGTACCCTCTACTTGAACAATCAAAGAAATATCTCCTTTATTATTCAGCTGGACCATGGCGGGTGAGTACAAGAAATGAGAGAAGTGACCATTTTGCTTTGAGGGCAGCCATGTTTCCTAAACCTAGGAGAAGCAGGTGTTTTGAAAGAGATCAGTTTTCCGTCTAATTTTAGCTCTTAGAAGATTTCATAGCTGATCTGTACCTTACCAAAAAACAGGTCTTGGCTTAGCTTTTCTCATTGTATAATGAGTTTTCCTACCTGATCCCGCTTCTTTGGCTCTCTTTGCAGCAGTGAGTGAATTTCACTATGTTACTGAATTCCTTAAGTTTCCTTATGGAGACCTACTTCATGAAGAAAGGAAGATGCAACATGTCTGTTTTTGGCAACAGCATTCTGTTGGCCGTATTATTTATTTCTAGCTTGTTTTGTGTGTTGAAGTAGAAAACGTATAGAAATTGACATCTGTTTGTGAAAAGACACAAGTTTGTAGAGCTTCTTTAAGCTCTTCATTGCTTTTATATTGTACTTAGGGTAACATAAATAGTTCTAAAAACAGATTGCAAACTAATTTGTGCAGTTAAAAAACAACTGAAGAATAATCTATTGTTATGGAGGTGCTGCTAAAAAGAGAAAAAGTTTAAATTGCACTGATAATATAGAAATTGTTGCTGAACTCTAAACTGAAGTGGTAAAAGTCTTTTATTTACTGTCGGTTAAAAGAGTAGTTGGAAAAGACAAATGTTCCTTTCTGTCCTTTATGTCTATGGAGATTCTCAGTCATCCAGGTGCTGGGTATCCCAAAGGTGCTTTTTTCATGAGGCAACTGGATTTTCTTGTTTTTCTTTGAAGACATTTCACTTCTCATCCAAGAACCTTCTTCAGCTCTGACTGGATGGTGGGGAAACGTCTTCAAAGAAAAACAAGAAAGTCCAGTTTCCCCGTTAAAAAAAAGCACCTTTGGGACTTTTTATCCTTTCTGTTTTATATGATAAATTTTAGAATGCAGGTAGTCCTTGACTTATGTCCATAATTGAGCCATGATGGTTGTTAAGTGGATCGTCATGTAACTGCACACAATTTTACAATCTTTTTGCAATAGTCATTCAGCAAACATGGCAGTCTTAAAGCAAACACAGATGTTAAGTGACTGCATTAACAATGCAAACCCATTGTTTGTTACGGGTGTGTTTCGGAAGTAAACATCAGTTTATAAAAAAAATGTCTGACTTTCAAGGATAGGTTATTGTACTGTAGATTTCTTGACAGTAGAGGTTGTTTACCCATCTCGGATGGATGGATGGATGGACAGACAGACAAAGACTTCTCAGCCTTAGGAATTCTGGATAGTATCCCACCAGAGCATTTCCTTTAGTTTTTTCCAGATTAGCTAAGATCAGCTAGATTTTATCTCCTAGCTAGTAAAAAAATGTGCAAAAATTCCATCCATATGTTATGGATAAACAAGTTAGAGAGTGACCTTTATTGGATTCTGAACAGGCACTAATGCTAATTTAGTTACTGCTAATAAAAAAGTTAATAATCAATGTGAGACTTACAGTTATTATTGTTTCCTAGAACTGTGTGTAGACATTTTCTCTCCCCTTCTCCTCCACCATGTCCTTTTTTTAAAAATTTAAGAACTTGTTTTCTTGAGAATCTGGACACTGTGACATATATAGCTAAACCTATCATTTTCCCCAAGAGATAGGGAAACCAGTGTGACAAAGGGAGGTAGGGATGCAGATCTCAACCAAACTAGACTTAACTTTACCCATTAACCAACTCTAAAAAATCAGTAGAGGATTTGTGAAATGCAATTGGAAATTCAGTCCCTTTTTAAAATATATGTATTTTTTCTTCCAACAGATCTTTGCAGTATGCTCCCCCACTTCCTTTATCCCTCTAGCAATGTGACTATGGAGCAAGCTTTGGAAAGTCAAATAACACTGAACTGCACCGTGCAGCTACCTTTCAGTAACGACTGTGATCTTGACCTGCACTGGATGAAAGATAATCAGTTGTTAGACAATAAAACCCATGCTTCTTATACTCAGTGGTAAGAAAACTTTAATACAAACTTTTTTTGGTTGCATGGTGATGGCAGTGGCAATGTGGAGGGTGGGAAGTCTCTCAAACTCTGAAGATCTTTTGAAGACAGTCATCAGTTTTCTATAAAGGACTACCCCTGAAAATCATTCAGAAACTTCAGCTGGTGCAGAATGCGTTAGTAAATGGTGCCAGGTACATGGCATACATAACACCACCTCTGCGTGAGCAGCATTGGTTACCAGTGTGTTTCTGGGTGCAATTTAAGGTAGTAATGGTTACTTTTAAAGTCCTATGTGTCTTGGGACTGGGGTACCTGAGAAATCACCTTTTCCCAAGAGTCTCTACCTATATGTAGCAGAATGGGCATTACTGCAGATCCTGTCAATCAAAGAGTGTTGGCTGGCAGGTACTAGAAGACTAGCTTTTTCCCCTGCTCTATGGAACATCCTCCCTTTGGAGATTACAATGACCCCAATCCTATTAGCCTTTCCTAAGGCTCTAAACCCATAGCTGTGTCCTAAGCCTGGGGCACTGAATGTGTTAAGGGCCCTGTTTCCTGGCTGTATTGCTAACTGGCCAAGTATCTTAGCTGCTATGGGTATTTCTTTTAGATGTTTCTATTGTTTCTATTGTTTGAATGTTTGTAGTATTTTTGATTATATTTTTTTTTTAAATTTTAAACCACCCAGTGTTATTGACAGAGATGGATAGAAATTGAATGATTTAATATATACATAGATACATGCCTACATACCTACATACCTGCATATTCTGATTTTCTGGAATGAGAAGCAAATTTGCAGTGAAACTGATGTTATGGACTGGAAGGTGCATTTTGTTGTATTTCTCGGAAGGAATACTTATATTGAATTTTAGAAAAGGCGTACCGGTATGTGTAAAGGACTGGAAAGAAAATGGTTTATGTTTTTTAAAAAAGAAATTATTGTATGCTTAATTGGCGCGAGAGAGAGTAGTTGTCTTAGATTTACAGCTTTAGAATAGACATGAACGCTCCTTCACAGAATTATGGTGTGTAGTAATGCTGAGCTGTTGAGTGACACATATATAGAGAATTTGCATGATTTAATATGAGAGGATGACATGAACTGTATTATATATTACCATCAGGGTAGTGCCTACTACCATTCAGGGAATCTGAGCAGTAGATTCTTGTGAACTCAGTAATCAGTTCAAATTCTTATTGGAAAAAAATCATTTATGTTTCTCAACAACAAACTGATATGTTTCATGTGTATCATCCCCAATGCAACATCTAAAAAACTTGTTTGGTGATTCTGCCAGCCATCTCCACCCTCCTCCCCCTTAGCACTTTTGCATTTGTCTGTTAACTTTTCTGAGTGGAAATAAAAACAGAAACTGGCTAGAATCTGGGCCAGTGGATTTCGTTGCCACTGACCAAACTTAGCTGGGCCCAGAGGTTGACCAGGTAGGCTATTGTTGGTATATGGATGGAAGAAATCCAAAAGATGTCATGGCTGTAGCTATCCCATTCCCCTTGACAAATTCTGCTATCTCATGATAAGTTAGCTATTTTATTTGCCTGATAGTTCTCATCTATAAAACCCTTTTTGTGCTGAGAGCCACAAAGGTGCTTTCAAATACAACCTGAATTTCTGTCTATTCCCATATGGCATGTCTAATAGAATGATTTTTAAAATCCACATTAACCTTGACTTTATCCCACCACAAATATCCATACCATCCAAATCTTTGATCATGTCTTTCTAACTCCAAGAGCCTGATCATTAGTTGACATTCCAGAAGAAGGAAGTGGCAAACTGCTTCTCTACTGAAACTGCATGGTTGTGTCCTTATAATCATGAAGAATTAACCTTGATTCAAGAGTATTATTCTACTTTTCAGGCACTCAGTAATCATTAGAGTGGAGGCAATGAGGCTTCTTTGCCATGCCTAGTAAGTTTAAAAAGGGCAACAAGGGAAAGAGCTGGTAGAAGAGGCAGAACAGAGAAAGCAATTGAAGAACATTATTTGCTTGGCTAAGTAGTTAGCAATAGGAGAACCTTTCTCTGCTCCTCTTCTACTTGCTCTGGGAGAAGCTGGCTGGGGAATTCTGGGACATGAGTCCATAAGTCTTAAAAGTTGCCAAATTTGGAGAGCCCTGTTCTAAACTGCTCTATCACCAACAGTTGTGCTAAGATCTGGAGTCCACCACCTGCTGTGGTGGCGCAGTGGTTAGAATGCAGAACTGCAGGCTACTTCTGCTTACTGCCGGCTGCCAGCAGTTCAACAGTTCAATTCTCACAGGCTCAAGGTTGACTCAGCCTTCCATCCTTCCAAGGTCAGTAAAATGAGGACCCAGATTTTGGGGGGCAATATGCTGACTCTGTAAACTGCACAGAGGGCTGTAAAGCAGAGGTCTCCAACCTTTCTCTGTTGGTGGACCGGAGGCAAAGGGAGGAGGAAGCATTTTATGTGCACACACAAACGTGACGCAAATGGGGCGGTGCTAGCGCCCACACGACGCTAGCACCGCCCCATTTTTGCCAAGCGGTGCCCTATTTGCATAGTGGCAGCAGCACTAGCGCGAGTGAGGGTGAGTGCGCGCACACATGTGTGCACACTGGCCAGCCTGTTTCATGGCCTGGTAACCAGCAAGCCACGGCCCAGTAGTGGGCCGTGCCCCACAGATTGGGGACTCCTGCTGTAAAGCACTGTGAAGTGGAATATAAGTCTTATTGCTATTGCTCACCATTTTCAAACTGCTGTAGGAAACAAAAGATGGGAGAGGAGGTTAAAATGATGGCAAGGCAACAGCTTGGAGAAGAACATATGAAAAATCATGAAGCTAACATGCCTCTTTCTGAACAGCAGAAGACCAATGGATCCAAATATTTAGATTTTTTATTTCTGTGTATTTGTTTTTTTGTGTGCTTTTTATTCTCTTTCTGATACTCTTACTCAAAGAGAGAATACAGTAGGAACAGGGCTACCACCCCAACATTTGTGAGTAGCCTCATTTCATAAAAATGACTCTTTAGGAAAGTATTAGAGAACAAGTGAGCTTTATTCAGTGCTTAGATTGTGGCACAGCAGACTGGTTTTGTTAGTGGTTGTATTTGTCTCTTTTTTTTAGCCCTCTGTTGTGTTGGTTGCTGTAAGCCCCCAAAACATGTGAGAGAACTGAATGGTGGGAAACCCTAAGTAAATAATCTATTACGATTCCACTTCATCTTCTCCAAAAGTTGAGGATCTCTGTTAAACAATAGGGTGCTTATAGTTTCACCACAGAGCCTTTTAAAATAGATCTTTCAGAATTCCACCTTCTGTGCTTCCTTTTGTTCTGTGGAATTACTCTGCTGGCTGGGAAAAAATAACCCTAACTTGTAAAGGAGGCTTCCTGTTTATTTTCATATGATTCTCAATGAGTATGCCATATGCTGATTTTCCTTTGTCTTTTCCCTTTGTGGGAGTCAGATTTGTGTATTTTTTTTCCTCTGTCCTTTGTTGCTTCAAGCTCACTCTCACTGCCTTAGGTGACGTGGGAATGACTCTCATAATGCCCTTGGGCATAAAGCTGGAAAGATGTATTAAGCTCATTAATTTTGTTATTTATTGTCAATAATTGTTCACAAATAGTCTGACCTATAAGCAGACATTATTCAGCTGTATAATCTCGTCTAGTAGAAACTTAGGCTTGCTTTTTCCCCCTTGAACACCGATATTGTTGTTGTTGTTAGTTGCGAAGTTGTGTCCAACCCATCGCAACCCCATGGACAACGTTCCTTCAGTCCTTCCTGTCCTCTACCATCTTCTGGAGTCCATTTAAGCTCACTCCTACTGCTTCAGGGACTCCATTCAGCCATCTCATTCTCTGTCGTCCCATTCTTCTATTGCCCTCAATCTTTCCCAGCGTTAGGCCCTTCTCCAGTGAGTCCTTCCTTCTCATTAGGTAGCCAAAGTTCTTGAGTTTCAAGTGAACACCTCTGTAAGTAGCATATATTGGTTATGCGATCCTTCTCCGGTATAATATTAATTGACGATTCCTATCCTTTCAGTCTACTGCCCAGTGAGAACTAAGCATAGCAAATTTGTTAAGCATAAATAAAGGGCTTAATTCTACAATATCTTTACTTAGTTAGTACTTTGTCAATCATTAGTTGTTTGTTTGCAGTTAGGTTTATTTTACAGTTTTGATCTAATTTTGGTGACTTTTACAATCAAAGCAGGCAGCTTCAGTCCGACTTGAAAGTAAATCCAGAGATAAAAATAATAAAAAGAAAATTTTTGAATACAATAATTATGGCTCTTTTAAATGAAAGAAGAGAAAGTGAAAAAAAGAAATGAAAACTCAGGAGATTTAAAGAGAATTAGAGTAAAAACTCATGCTTTTTTTTCCTAAACAAAACAAAAGCACATTTTAAGTAAAGCATTAACGTGTTCCATAGGTAGAACCTACCATTCATTTGTATGTAAAAGAAAGTGGAGAAAAATAATTTTCTCTACTAGTGTTTGTGCAATGTAAATTAGCTGGTTTGATTGCATTCATGAGAACTAAGCCTATTGCCCATATAACAAACTTACTTAGCCTTCCGTTTGACTTGGCAAATTTAATCTTCTTTCCACAATTCCCAATCTGCTCCTTTGAAAAGACCTTAAATGAACTGAAGCTTCAGAGCATGTTTGCTGGGATTGATCAATGTTCCTGAGGAAAGTGGGTTTTTTTTCTTCAGGCTGGAGAAATTATTTTTTTATCGTGTAGAATCATAATAGTGGTAGTTAGGATGTCTCCATCATCTGAACCTCTGATTTTGTGGACAAGAAAAAGGTTTTGGATGGAGGGTAGGCAGATAAACAGGCAAGAGGCAAGGGAGCTCCTGACACGTTAAGTTTTGGTAATTGCTCCTAGCAATGTTTTTTTTGAAAGAAAGTATCCAAAAAAGAAAGAAAGAAACAGCTGTGTTGAATGAAAGAAACTTTGGAAGTGTTTTAAGTAGGGATACAGAATTGTTGAACGTTTGTTTATTTATTTGTATCCCACCTTTATTATTTTTACAAATAACTCAAGGTGGCGAACATATCCAACAATCTTGGATGTAGTGGCGCAGTGGTTCGAATGCAGAATTGCAGGCTAACTCTGCATTCCATTGCCAGGAGTTCGACCCTGACTGGCTCAAGGTTTGCTCAGCTTTCCATCCTTCTGAGGTTGGTAAAATGAGGACCCAGATTGTTTGGGGCAATATACTGACTCTGTAAACCACTTAGGGAGGGCAGTAAGGCACTATGAAGCGGTATATAAGTCTAAGGGCTATGGCTATCTTCCTTCTCCCATTTTCTCCACAATAACAAACCTGTGAGGTGAGTTGGGCTGAGAGAGAATGAATGGCACAAGGTATGCTGGTTAGGATATTCAATATTAACATTATTACATTTTAAAAAATAAGCTTTCTGTCTCTCTTTCTAGAAATGTGCAATCAAAATCAGACTACTTACTCCAAAGAAAACCCACTGAGTTCAATTATTATTCTTAAGCATACTAGCATAGGTTTGCAGACTAAGCTATGGGAAATGAAGGGAGAATACAGAAGAGAGAAATTACATGAGAAGGATGAGAGAGGAAGGTATTGTGTATCTGGAGTGAGAAAACAAAAGTCTGTTTTCTATAACTGAAACTTTCTGCTACTTTTCTCAAACTAGGAAAATAAAGAAAAATGCCATATCAAATATGACTTAAGTAAATCGGAAATTATAGTAAAAGTTATTTGTTGTTCAATTCATGTAACATCTTTGCTCATGCAAACTTGTTGATCCAGTGTTTCATAACACCAAACACAAAAGACTTTCCATCCACATCATGTACTTTTCTAGAGTTTAAAAAGGGGTACAATATATGGCGGCGTCTGGATAAGACTTTCAAAATACAATCGACCTGCTGTATTTGTGGAATTTTACAGGAATCTCAACATTGTTCATATCATGAATAACTCTTCCACATTTTCCTATTACTTCTTCTGTTGCCATTGTTTCATAACTGAAATCAAGTGCACTGCAGAAAAAAAATGATGAAGCTTCCCAGTGTACTGTACTTTCATAGGTAGCATTAGGAGTCCTCTGTCTGTAAGCACCCTAACATTTTTGGCTAGCCCAGCTCTGAAATTTCCCTATTCTCATCCTTTGCTTATCTTCCAAAATAATTGTATTTAGCAGTATGCTAACTTTTTTGTTTGTTTGTTTTCCAGGTTCAGTGACAATGAAACGAAAATATTTATCTCCAGTTCTTTAGCACTGAACATGACTTCTGATGAAAATTATGGAGTTTTTGCCTGTTTCATTAGAAATAGTTCTGCTCTTTTTACACTGAAAAAAACAGGTAGTGTGCCTGTGAAAATAGTCATAAAAGATTCTATTGATTATCACTGTAGCTACACGTGCATAGCATTAATTATTTTATAGTATTGGGTTCACAAAGTTATCACCATATATCCATTCAAGAGCAGTTTCCTGATTCTGTTAATTAAACGACAAACTAATGAATTAAAATATTTATTTGATGTATTTGCTGTTCGGTCATAAACAAAATAAACATTCATATGGTCTTTTTCATTATTAATGCAGCTTTAAAACACGGGGTGTAAGAATTTGAGTTGGCCTTCCATCTGCTGGATGATTCTTGTGAGCGTAAAATAGAATGAAGTAATATTATACAGCCTCAATATCCTGGAGGAAATAAAAGACATTTGCACTTAAATGAAAAGAGGGTGGGTAAAACTTTGGGCTTTTGAGAACGAGAAGCAGCACTAGCTTAGGAGTTCATGGTATAAGGACAATATTGTACCAAGCTATCATCTGTGAATCTAAGGAGAGAAATTGCCACATGATGGCACCAGGTAACAACAAGATTTTCATGGTTGTAGACTAGGCTGGGAAGTTGAAAAACATTCTGGAAGAAGGTAATGTAGTGGCAAACCACTTCCATCCTGTAAAATAATTTCAGGGTAATGCCTTGAGAGACACTGAATATATTAGCCTGAAAATGCTTGTGGTGCAACTAGCAAAAAGTCAGCACCAATTCTTATTTGTTACCAGGCCAATAAGTAACAATCATGAAAACCAGTACTCTTTCATTTCCATATTGTTAAAAATGTCCCGGTTTGGATGTGTCTATGAAGTCTCCAGGAGCTGAGCTTCAACTTGGCCTGGCTACTTCAAGGAACGTATCCATTTATACTGGCCAGAATTAAGACTTTTCTTCTCCTCAACAGAAATGTAAACGTTGAGTAGCGTCCATGCTGCATGTTTTAAGTCTGGGGGAGGACAAAACACATTTTGGTATTCTAAGCAATGAGGGTTCCTCAGTCACTCTGAACATTCTACTGCGTTATGTTAAAGGAACATTCTGCAGACTTTTTTAGAGCACCCTTTTGCAACTTCCAGGTGACCAAAAAAAAAAAAAAACAAAAAAAACCCCTTAAAAGCCAGTTTCTGTGTACAAATGCTAACAAGATAGGCCTGACTTTGAGGAATATCAGAAATTGACTTCACATCCATCCTTCATCTGAAGGCCTTGAATTTATTATTTTGTGAGTAGGAATGCTCACCACAGAGAATTTTAACTCTCCATTTTTCGAATTCTGCTTACCTCTGTAGTTGTGCTGCTGTTATTTTAGTTAGACAGCAATGTGTCATTTCCCCCCCCCCAATAGAATCAGCTTTCACTTTTAATTCTATCCCACAGTGTACGTGTTTTGCCATAAATTGTAATTAATGTTGTTTGCTGCCTTTTCAGACGAGACTGCTGGGCACTTAGGCGCAGTGCTGGCCACAGTTTTTGCTGCAGCACTCCTGCTATTTCTAGCTATAATGTATGTGAAGTGTCGATTGAATGCTCTTCTCTGGTACAGGAATCATTATGGAGAAGTAGAAATCAATGGTATGTTTTTTTCCCTCTCCTCTTGATTCAGAATATTTAACATTTGGAGAAGTCATTGAAATAAGAGAGGAGGGATTTTTGAAAATTATATGGGATGTTAAAATTCTAGCCAAGCCTATATTTTTACATCTTTCTTTTAAGTGGGAATAATCAGCCACAACAGGTGCCGGACTGCTGTCTCTTGACACCCAGGGATCTGTGCAATAGATGAGGGAAGCCGGCATATGTATAATTTATTGCATTTTATTTCCTGTATCTTTTGTTCAATTTAACTTTGTCTAGAATTCCCTCTATTTACATGACATTGCTTCCAAGGTTATTCCAAATTCAAACGCCAAAGTTAACTCCTCCTCTCCATCCCATTTGGAAATTCCACAACAAAAAACCTTGCAGGTGCCAGGGGAATTAGATGAGGATTTATTTATTTTTTTAAAAAATAAAATAATTTAAATAAATAATTCATTAATCTGTTGGTATAGCTTACTGCATTTCTCTATGCTTTTTTCTACAGATGGAAAAATTTATGACGCCTATGTATCTTACGCTGATTCCGTGGATGATAGAAAATTTGTGAATTTCATAGTGAAGCCACAGCTGGAGAATCGCTATGGTTACAAGCTCTTTTTAGATGAGAAGGACATTCTACCCAACTCAGGTAAGAACCAGGCACAAGAAGAGGGCAGTGTTTGGTAGGTTGGCTCTACAGCCTAGCTTCCTGAATTGATGGAGAATTGCAGGAGGACATCCAAAGATACTGTGATATCACCAAAAAGGAATTAACTGAGTTTTCCCCCCCCCCCTCAATTGGAACAGGAAGACTCCCAGAAGCATTCTAATCTTTCCTTCAAATGGAATATGGGTTAAATAGTTTGCACCAATTTGAACATTTTGCTGTTAAATTTCAGCAGCAAGTTTTTAGAGGTACCTCGTGAAGGCCTAGGTTTATTCACTTTGGTCCTGTGGAATGATTTGAGTGAATCAAGAGAAATGTATAGTTAATTTGCTTGTTTGTCCTCCTGTTCATAACAGAGTAGCTTTTTTTGAAAGCTGACATACTGGAGTGAAATGTGGTCTTTGTTTTTAGGACCTTGTGTTTTATATTTGAATAATCCATGTTAACTACTAGACCAAATTGGCCGCCTTACAGCAAACTCCTGGCAATAAAGCAATAACAACAGAGCATCATCCGATTTTAACAAGCAAGGTAGTGTGTAATGGATATTGCTAGTGTATTAATAGCTGTGGCCAGGCTGGCCCTATCCAAGAGATAACCATGGAGCAGAAAAGTAGACTTTCCTTCCAGAGGAATAACTGCATCTCCATTGATCCTGGACTATTGGCTCCAGGAGTATTCTTAAACTCATCATCTCCTTAAGAAGAAATGTTCCCCCGTCTAGAACAAGAAGCCCTCTCTGCAATGCGCCACCATTATCTGGATGCAGCTTCACTTTATTTGCCTGTTCTTAAAAAAAAAAATCACTGCTTTCAGACATTGGTCTAAAAGTTGTACAAATTCTCTTGATTCAAAAAATATGAAGAAATACAGCCTGCTGTTATCAATGTACTGATGAAGTCTCTGCTGGTGTTTTCATCTAAACGTTAGATGTCACTGGGAACAGAATAAATTCCTGTGGAACTTTACAGCTTAATTGTCATCAGACTAAAATAAGAATAGCCCTGAAGTAGGAAAAGAGCCAGTCTAACAATATGCCCTGAATACATTATTTCACAGAGATTCTACTGAAGGATACTATGGTGAAAAGAATCAGGAGCTATTAAAAAACTGAGCAGGATGAACAAGTTTAAATTTCCTCTGATTCTCTGATAGGGATCTGATGGAGATTTTCCATCCCAACATTGTTAAGTTCCAAATTATGAGACTTAATTTGGATTTGGAGGCTAATGATAATATCCTCCTGCATAAGGTAAAGATGAATGACTGAAAAACAAAAAATCTCCAAGGGGCTGGCCTTTCTCAGAAAATAAATAAGTAAGTAAGCAAGTAAATAAATAAATATTTTTTTCCAGAACCTTCTGCAGATCTGATTATGAATGTTAGCCGATGTCGACGCCTTATTGTGGTTCTTTCTTATGCCTATTTAGAACAGGAATGGTGCAATAATTTCAGGTAAACAGACAATCATTTCTTTAACATTTGTGTGTGTGTGTACTTCCTCCTTTCTCTCATTATGTCTGGTTTTTTTTTAAATGCTGTACTGTCTTGTAAACTGCATTTTGCTATGGTGCATAAACTAATAAATTGTTTCTTGTATGATTCCTCCAAACCAAGTTTTCAAACTAATTATTTATTCTGGGTTTCCAATATCTGTTTCATGAGGTTTTTTGCAGGTCACTGTTTGGTTTGAATGTCAAGGTAAACTCTGATTTAAAAAACTAAAACCATAAATATTCTGTTCAACTGATTATGTGCATGTAGCTGATTGTCAGTCTTCCAAGCTGTAGTTGAAGACACCGGAAATGTGATATTTGCATGCAATCCCTTTTTTTGATAGGTTCCTAGATCACCTTATTCACAGCCACTAAAATCTCTCCTATGTCTTTGTAAATGATACCTAGGAGACTAACATATGTATTTTGCATATTAGCTTCTGATATTTAAGCAACTGGCATATTTCCAAGCTTAATGAAACTTGGATATGGTATATGTTAGACAAATGAAAGACATGTAAGCGTTCCTGCAGAGTGAGCACTATAAATAATTTTTAAAATCAAGTTTTGTTCGTAATTCTGTAAAGCCATTGCCTATTTTTTTTAGGGAAGGTCTTTGGAGACTGCTGGAACTGTCCCGGAAACCAATCTTCATTGTCTTTGAGAGCCAATATCGAGACATAGCACATCCAGCCATTAATTTGCTAAAGCAGCACAAGAGCAACGTGACCTTGTTGATGTGGCATGCTGGTTCCATGGTAAACTGGGAGGAAAAGGCTGCAACCTCTTTTTTTTTTAATAGCAAGATAATAATTGAGATGCAATTCTAAGTGTAGGGTAGCTTCTCTCCTGAGAATGACCATAGGCAATCCTTTAAGTATTTACCTAATAGCATTGCATATTGAGAAGATTTGACTATTCTTTGAAACCTAGATTTTGACTTCATGTAGTAGTAAATTAGTAGGAGTAGGAGTAGAAATTAGAAACAGTTCTTAATTGTGTAACTTTTCATAATGAACTATTTCAGAAGTGGTGAACCTGTAACTTCCCAAGATAATAGTCTCAGTTGCCAGCACAGTCAGTGGTGGATGCTGGGAATTGTAGTTTTCAACTTTGATTTGTGGAGATTCTCCATCCTTGCTCAACAGGTGATTATCCTGAACTCCTGTTGACTAGAAAATAGATGATTGAGGCTGACAAGTCACATCTTTCTCAAGTCACATCTCTCTCTCTGTCTACATACATGCATACATATAATGAATTTGTTTTCTGTGCTGTTGCAGAAAATTATAAGAAAAAATGTTATGATGCCTCATCTTTAAAAGAAACAAGCAAAAATCCACATTGAGGCACCAAAACCAGGAAAAATAAAAATTAATAATACATATAGTTTTTCACCCTAGATGTTTAATGCACAGATAGCTCAAAAGCAAATAAAAAGCATGGATAGTGAAGATGAAAAAAAAACAAATATTCTCAAAGCAGGAATGTGGAAAAGCATTATAAATGTATTATTATTAAGACTTATTTCTGTTAACATATCAGTGGTAAATGGATAATAACATGGGGTCTTTTTCATTGGGTTATTGAAGGAGGGATGAAAATTTTTCTTGAGATATGAAAATAATTTTACATGAGCTTAGTACAACTTGAGTATTTGAAACAATCCTTATTAATAAAGGAGAATATTTGTAGTTCAGGGTTGAAATCGGGGTCCTTGGTGCTCTCTGAGCTTCCTTGTTTTCTTACAGAGTTTTCATTACCCAACTAGGTTACATCATCAGTGCTAGTAAGGAGTGCAGTTTGCTATCAATTTATATTCTAGTGGCTTCCCCTGTCAGTGTTGGTGGGGGTGGTCTTAAAGATTCTTTGGTTGGGCTGCTTACTGTTGGCTTCTTTGGCAGTTTCTTAATTGGGATATTGCTGGTCTGATGTTACCCTAGGAGTTAATCTATGCTAATCTGGGTGCTATTCCGTATGGGGGGGGGGGAGAGAAGCAAATGTGATCTCTTTTTTTCCTCCCTAAGAATGAAATATTTCCTGGCTCAGTAAAAAGTGTCTAATTTAAATTTTATGTGTAGTATTTCCTGATTTGTGTCAGAACTAAATTGTATGGGCTGGGCTGCTGTTTGAGAGGCTCAGGAAATTATTTTCTTGCCAAATGGGAATTAATTGGGAAAAAGAGCTCAGGAAGGACTTCAAAAATCAATACATTAAAAGATCAAATGCAAATAATTCCAATAAGTGGAGGGGCCAGTGGTGGGATTCAGCAGGTTTGCACTACTTCGGCAGAACCGGTAGCTAATTTTTTGTTGCCCAGGTCCAGAGTGGATTTCCGGGAGCAGTATCCATACAGAGAAACAGTTGTTCTCATATTTGAATCCCACCACTGGAGGGGGATTTAGAGCATATATAAGAAATAAAAAGAGGATCAGATTCTCAAAAAAAAAAAGGGGGGGGGAACCATGGAAAGTTTGGTTCTCCTGAAGTGGACGTGTTGAAAGCTAGACTGCTACCTGCCTGGAATGCTTTCATTTGGATTTTTCGACAAAGTGTGTGTGGGGGGGGATGGGGGGTAGGAGTTGAACAGAATGCTTTATTCCATGATTGGACAGAAGTCTGACAGCATTTATACAGGTAGTTCTCCACTTATGACCACAATTGAGCCCCAAAATTCTGTTGCTAAGCAAGAGAGTTACCGTATATTCCGGCGTATAGGGTGACCTGGTGTATAAGACGACTCCCGAGTTCGACGCCGGGTCGCAAGACAATCGACGCCGAGTCGCATGCCTAGAAAGTTGTCTTATACCCCGGAAACTACCGGTATTTCCGGTGTATAAGACGATCGACGCTGAGTCGCATGCCTAGAAAGTCATCTTATACGCTGGAAACTACCTTATTTCTGGCGTATAAGATGATCGACGCCGAGTCGCATGCCTAGAAAGTTGTCTTATACGCTAGAAACTACCTTATTTCCGGCGTATAAGACGACTCGGCGTATAAGACGACCCCCGAGTTCGGAGGCTGTTTCAACGCTCTCAAAAGTCGTCTTATACGCTGGAATATACAGTAAGTGAGTTTTTGCCCCATTTCTTGCCACAGCCATCAAGTGAATCGCTGCAGTTGTTAAATTAGTAACATAGTTGTTAAGTGAATCTGGCTTTCCCTTTGAGTTTGCTTGTCAGAAGGTCACAAAAGGCGATCACATGTCCTCAGGACATTGCAACCCTCATAAATATGAACCAGTTACCACGCATCCTAATTTTGAGACCCTGGGGATGTTGCAATGGTTGTAAGCATGAAAGATGCATGTAAGTCCCTTTTGTCAGGGCTGCTGTAAGTTCAAATGGTCCCTAAATGAATGCTTGTAAGTCAAAGACTGCCTGTCCTTTTATTTAATGTTACATTCCTAGGAAAAGGGCATCTTCTTTCATTCTTAGTATGCAGTTTCCGGAGAGGCTGGCTTTCTCTTTTATGCATAGAATAGAGGTGCATTTAAAATCTGGAGAGAACATTGTTTCATTCTGGGTTTTTTCCATGTGTGAACATTAGAACAAGGTATTTTTTAAGAGTTTTTGTCTTCTTTGCCTCACTCACTCAGTCTTCCAGAATGTTTTCACAGTCATGGAGAGTGATTGTTTCTATTTTCTGTCAGCGTTTTCGGCGTATAAGACATAGGGACATAGAGGACTGGCCAGAATCTGGAAATCATCACAAGATGATCTTTGTGTAATTTTTCACAATTGTGAGGATCTCAATTCTTACTCTGACGTGAATTTGTTTTTAGATTTGAGTCATGTGAACTAGCAGGAAAGGTGATCTGTACTATATTTGTGTGCTAGTGCCCATTGTGCTTTTTAAGTGTATATCAAAATAAGTGATGTTCCTAGGGAAAATGACATTTTCAGTCACATAATCCTTGTTGCTTCTATTCAGTGTGCACATATTAGCCATGAAAATCAGTAACAAGGAATCATTTCCTGACGGTTGAGCTATGTTTACACAGATAATTCTGTGATAAATGCTGCTAAATTCGTCTTAAAAATTTTACACACACACACGCACACACGTTCCCATTAATGACAAAATGGTCGATCTTTCAGTCCATCAGTATATGGAGATAATACTTCGATATGAAAGAGAGCAATAATGATTTTGCCATTGTTGAGGCTTAACATATTCAGATCCTGATAAATTGTAGAGTGACTAAAATCAAAGGCTCCTCTTTTGAGGTTTATCACCAATTAGAAGACCAGCATGATTTAATTTACACTATAAAGAATCCTAAATAAGTAAATAAAACCTATGAGGGAAATTAAAACCTTGATTGTAGAAATTATCTGCCTCCACTGCAATAGTAACTACTAACAACAAAAAATCCTGTTTCAAAAACACTGCTGTTACCTGAAAAATTCCATCCAAATCTCTGCAGTTTGCAATCAGTGCATGAAAGCTATACAAACTTGAATAAATTTCCCATTTAGTGATATTTCTAAATCGCATAGGAGCAGCGTGTTAATCTTTCGTTCTGGCTCTCCTTATATGAACAAGGGAAGCAGGCTATCATTCTGAACTTAATGGCTGAGGCTCCTGATTTGGGTTTTTTCCCCCTAATACTGAAAGTAAAGCTCTCGTTTAACATCTCTTCTCAAAATAAGGCAGCACAAGATGAAATTATCTCAAGAGAGATTTTAAAGTGTATTTGATGGAAGGTTTTCTATCATGGTTAAATCATTCCGTTCAACAAATATAAAGGGTTACGTTCTGTCAAGATAAGTTCTGAGAACACTGATCCCAGTTTTCAAAAAAGGGGACGAATAAATTATACACCAATCAGTGTAAGAGATATTTTTTTAAAAATATAAGTGAAATACTTCTCACTTACTTATGAGGAATGGGTCCTATTGTGTGATGAAACTGCCGGAGAATGAGCCCATGGTTCAAAATTAGAGACCAGTTTTGTACTTGCTCATTTAATTAATTTTAACATAAATAAATTGAGGCAGCTTTTGTGGACTTTGAATCAGACTGACTATTTTAATCAACTGAAATACATTCTAAAAGAACCTTCCTAATACCAACATCAATTACTATTTGTTAATTTTATTGAGAGTGATATACTCAAATTGCATACTTTCAGCATAACTGCTTTACTCTCGGGATAAGGGAAAAAGATAGCCAAATCCGGAGCCCCACTCTGATTAAGATCAGAGTGACAGCCTACTTCTCTTGTTCACACAAGGAGAATCAGAATGAAAGATTAATGCACTGCTCCTATTCAATTTAGAAATATCAGTAAATGAGAAACATATTTTCTTACGTTTAATACCTAGTTATATTTTACTTTCTGTCATAATTATGCATTGCTGCCCTTTTATCCCAACTTCTTAACAAATTTGCCCCTAATCAAAAGGATTGCTATTTTCCTATTATAATCACCAAGCAAAAGCTGTCTGAATTTTTTAAGGTAGTGAATTCAGTATAATACTCTTGTCCTGTTCCTATACAAGCTTGTTGACATATTACATGCTATCAGGTTGTTGTCAACTCTTGACAAAGTATATACCATAAATGCCGGCGTATAAGACGACTTCCGTGAGCGCTGAAATCGGCGCCAAAGACGGGGGTCGTCTTATACGCCGAGTCATCTTATACACCGGAAATACTGGTAGTTTCCGGCGTATAAGACGACGTTCTAGGAATGCGGCCCGGCTATAAAGACGGGGGTCGTCTTATACGCCAGGCCGCCTAATACGCC